TGCATTCGATCAAACGGCACCGCAAGAATTTCCACCGCAAAACATCAAATCAACACCAACGGTAGCATTTGGTTTCCCCGAGAAAACACTACCTCATTCTATATCGCAATGTTTATCGTCATATGAGTTGCTGGCCGTATTACGTATTTGATTTTAATTAAAAAGAAGGATCGTTTTGGATGGAAAATTTAGGCGAGAAATCTCAATATGGGTTGCACAAATTGGGTTCAAATTCTATATCTATAAATAAACAAGAATTTTTTGTTCAAATCCATTATCATTATACACATTATTTTGGGTTTTAAGTGAGGAACTTGGGTCCAAATCACTCACAGGTACCTAAGAACCAATCACCCCATCCAAATGACTCCCAAGAGTTTTCCGTTGAAATCTCACTTTGCCTCATCATAAAAAAGTATCATATATAATGAAATATACCTATGGGTGTTCAGATATTTACCATAACAATTACCAAATCAATTACAATTAGATTGAATTAACCAATGTTATAGGTATAATATGCCTCTTTACTGTGTCATTTTATCAAACATGCCCATCTACTATATTTTACATCAAACATACCCCTATACTATGGAAAATTTATCAAACATGTCTTTCTATTAAAATTTTCATCCAAAATTCGTTAACCACGGCCGAACTTTGATTTGGGCGACACAAATGTTTAAATATCCCTAATAATACACTTTGGAATTTTTTTTGGTTCTTTTTTATAGCCAAATAATTCTATAAATTTTAATTTGACAAGACCTAGAGAAATAAAACAGGGGACAAAACTGATATTTTTCCTCCGATTTGCCGATGTCGGGTCATCTAAATCAGTTCAACCATGATTGACGATTTTTTCAATGAAAATTTTAACAGAAGGGCATGTTTGATAATTTTTCCAAAGTAGAACGACATGTTTGATGTAAAAAATAGTAGAAGGACATGTTTGATAAAACGACATGGTAGAGGGGCATATTATACTAGGGCTGGAAATCTGGTCCCGGTTTTCCGGTCAAACCGGAAACCGGCCAGTTAAAACCGCTCCGGTTGAAACCGGAAATCGGATATCCATTAACCCAATCCAGTTTACAGTTTTAGTGTTAGTATGACCGGTCCGATCCGGTTAAAACCGGAAAAACCGGATTATAAAAAATAAAACTATCCTAGCCCATTCCAGGCCCATTCCAGGCCCACTCCCACCCTAGCCCATGCCCACTCTAACTCCCCCTAACCCTAACCCAATTCCCAGATCCCCACTTTCCTCTCAAGTCTCCCCTTCCCACTCTTAGAGACGGCCGTCTCTCTATCCCACCATCTCTGTCTCTTCCAAATCCCCACTGCCACACACAAACTACAACCTCTCCGCCTCACCAACTCCAACTCCAACTCCACAAGCTCTGGTTTGGATAGGTGATTATTAGACGGGATCAAATCAGAGCAAGCTTTGGACCTCCGTCGACCCTTCGCCACTCGACCCTCGACCGATCGACCCTCCGCCGACCCTCCGCCGACCCTCCGTCGATCAACCCTTCGCCACTCGACCCTCCACCGATCGCCGACCGCCGCATGTTCGCCTTCTTCGGACTAGGATCGGTAACCGTGCTTGCCAGAAGGTGGATGCATGGAGGAAGAGGAGCTACCACGACTCCGATCTCTCTCATTGGCCACAACCACCCCCGCCCCCAGGTCTCGCCTCTGTAATCCGCCACTCCGTCATTCTGAAACCTCGTCGGTCTCCAAGCGAGAAGAGGTTGCTCGTCGTCGCCATCGTCGAATAGTTGAGAAGCGGAGAGGAGAAGAAGATTCGTGAGCAATTGGGATTTGAAAGGAGATAAGAATTGTGTGGTTGCTGTACTATGTAGGTCAGACGATTTTTGTTATTTTTGTCCCGTCAAAATGACTTAGACGGCGACGTTTAGTTTAATTTAATTAATCCTTCCGGTTTTTTGGTTAAAACCGGATCCAATCCAGTCCGGTTTTGGTTAAAACCGGATCCAATCCAATCCCGTCTCCGGTTGCGATATTGGCCAGAACGGTTGTAAAAAACTGGGTCAATCCGGTCCAGTTTTAACCGGACTGGACCGTTTCCCACCCCTATATTATACCTATAACTCTATTAACCATGAATATAATACATTAACCAAACTGACCAAATTAAAACAACAACCAAAGTAACCAAATTAAAGATTAATTGATGTAAAAAATAGTAGATGGGCATGTTTGATAAAACGACATAGTAGAAGGGCATATTATACCTATAAATCTATTAACCATGAATATAATATATTAACCTAACTGACCAAAGTAACCAAATTAAAGATTAATCAATTTGGTTAATTATTTAATCTAATTAACAAATATAACATAACACTACCATGACATGAAAAAATATTTTGTTAATGCATTTATCCGTAATATGTAAAGATAGCCACCTAAAAAATATTAACAATAGTACAAGGTAATAAAATGGGTGTGTTTGAGTAAATTATTTTAGGAATTTCATCCAACATAGTAACATACTGTACTAGTTTTACCTAAATTAGCAACTCATATGGTATTGTCAACAATCCACAAGAACAAATATAGTATAGGAAAAATTATGAGCTTTATTAATTTATTTATTTATTTATGGCGTTGAAAAAAGAGAAACGTACTCTTAAGTGATTATGTGAAATATTAAGCATTGGAGTATATAATATATTAAATATATAGTTAATTTTCTAATTGGTTAATTGATTCATAATTGGTTTTTTTCCCATGGCAAGCCCATTCCATTTCCTTCTTTTTGTTAGTTGCTCATAATTATGGTATTTTTTAATGGTCTTAGTGTTATTAGGGGAATCTTTTTGTATGTTTTAAATTGTCTCCCAATTAATTATAATTTTTAATCCTTTGCTTAACCACCTGGCGAGATAAGTAACCGATATTTGTGACAAGGTAGATTTTGCCTCAATGGTAAGATTTAATCTCTTGCTAGCGAGATTTATAGCATCATTGTAGTGCATTTTTAATTGGTCATTTTGTAGGTGCTCATTTGATATGAAAGTAATTGAAATAAGTTTCAACGATCTATCAAGTGATAATTAAATTTTATTTGCTTTTACAAATTTATGAGAGTAATTAAGCATGCTCTTTAGAAGAATGCTAATGTATTTTTTTTGGTGGCATTTTGTGGCAACTCAATATTTGTCACCCAGCTTACTCCGTTGAAGGAAACTACACTCGCTGCGGGACTATCTTGGAGATGTTGGGTCATTGTCTTTATTTGTTTCCTGTCATTGTCGTATCTTTGCTCCTCGGAGCTACTTCAGAGCTGCCCAAGTAGTGGTTTTTCAACCTCTTTCATCGGTAGTCTGGTTGCACACGAACTAACGTGTAGAATTTGAGTCGGTCTTGTAATCGTGTCGAGTCTTTGTTCATAATTGGTTTGATTGTTAGCATTATTTGAAATCAAACAAAACCAAACTACCTAAAAATTTAACCCAAAATAAACCAAGTATCTAAATAAAGCAAACCAAATTATTTGAATAGTACCAGTTAAAATAGTTATGACAGAATCACTCCGTAATATCCATCAAAATGTTGAGGTTTAGCTTTGGGGGTTGGTTATATATAAGTTAGTTATGTAAGTAACAATTGTGAACTAAAAATTCTGTCAAAAACAATTGTGAACGAAAAAAACTCAAAATAATATAACGTGGTTACGTCAGTATCGCACTAATCCTCCAATCTTCCTCTCACACTTTAGGTATTATTATTCATTTATTCTTTGACTTTCAAATCATTTAAAACTAAATCTATATATACAGTTTGCTATAACAAACCATAACTACAGATCGGATAAATATATACATTTTGGATACTATAATTAACAATATCGAGAATTGATAACCCTGTAATTTAATATGCTATCATAGTTTTTTTTTTTTTTTAAATGTACCGTGCTAACGTGTAAGAGTGATAAGATGGACCAGAAACATGTCTCTGCATGTATGTTCGGCGGATCGGAACTCAAGAATATTCGGACTAAAAGAAAATAATGAACATGGACGCATGATGATGATGAGTGCTCAATTATTCTCGTTGAATATGGGAGGGGGACAATTGTGTACACTATCAATTCATGTGATCGGAGTCTACGACATTATGAAATTATGTAATCTAAAGAGTTGTTCCACGAATCATCTAATGAATTTTTGAGAGTCTAACAAATCTGGCAATACAAATGTCGAGTTGTTCTTTTCATTAGAGTTCACGATATCCCCATAGTTCTTAATAGATGAGCCACTAAAATTGAGCTTCAAAGCATCCCTCCAAACGACACTTGTGCAAATTAGAATTTATCGCATTTAAATGAAGAGAAATTTTTTAGTCCATGAATTGACTCGTATAGGTGTATTTATGCCTTTTCGGTTTTATTTTGTTTCTCAAACCGATCATGGTATTCCATATTGACTTTTGTACAATAGAATTGAGAATTATATTCCTGGTAATAGGAATATATAAGATAGTAATGAAGTGCATCCTTTATCATAAAAAAAAATGTGAATTTTTATTTAAAGTTTTTTTGTTTTAAATATAGCGTGGCAGCTGATTATTTAATGGTCGTTTGTGTATGTTTAAATTGCAAATTTATATTAAAAACAAAAACTTCAATGAAAGATAAACCTTTTGAGTTGAAGATTGAAGAGAAAGGAATCAGCTATGAGGAAATGGCGGCCGCTAAGAGGAACCAAAGTAAGGACGAGAGGGAGAGGACCTAGGATTAGGAAGGTTATTGGTTACCAATTATATATATATCTTATCGAGAACCTACGTACATAAGGATCTGTGGCGCAATGGTAGCGCGTCTGACTCCAGATCAGAAGGTTGCGTGTTCGATTCACGTCAGGTTCATTTTTGTTAGTTTTTTTCAAAGACAAAAATTAAACCGTAAGAAAATGTCTGAGCCCAGGTTCGAACTGGGGACCTTTAGTGTGTGAGACTAACGTGATAACCAACTACACCACCCAGACAACAGTGAAAATATTTATGAATATAAAAATATGACATTATCAAAGGTATTAGTTGGTTCAATGTTAACAATAATGCTTAAGGATAACGCTGATCAAAATGTTAACTAAAATGCTTAAGGATACTGCTAATCACTGGGTAAGGTGTTTCGTGCTGGAGCGTTGCTTTATGAGGCTATTGTGGATTAGGAATGCAGTGTGTTAGTGTTTTGTAAGGGGTGTTCATTTGGGACGCCAAGATGATGTTGGACAAGGTGTTCATTCGGAACCTGGACTTAGAATTGGACTCTGAAAGGGCAGTTGGAGAAGTTGATGAAACTTGAAAGCCCGTGAAGAAGTGAAGTGGAGGCTGTATCGACCTTGACAGGACAAGATGCTGATGAAGACATACTTGAATGTCCGTTTTATAGAGAAGGGTCTAGGGAACTCCTGGAGGCCAGGATCTGCAATGCTACATATTCGATATTCGACTGCGAGGGACCAAAAGAAATTGATTCACTGTTCTTTCTCGTCGGTGCACTCGGTCCAGTTCGTGTGTGGCTGATCGGCAGAGCATTCCCTCAGACAGGTGATCGCTGATGGTTGTCCAGTATTCAAGCAGTAGTGTCAAGGTTTCACAACTTCAATGTTTCATCTTCTATTTCCTTTTATCTATCTACCATTTTGCTGCAGTAAGACTTTTTACCTAACATAGCTGGATTCTCCTATACACATTACACAGAACCAAAGATCCTAAATAACTGCAGGAAGGCATGCCATGAGGTCAACGGGACACATACAGACAGTACTTTTTCAGAGAGATGGAGCTCTCTACCCTCACAATCGGGAACTTAATCCTTCGGCTCCCTGTGAAGGGTTTGGGAGAGAAGCAGCAGAACTTTCTTCAGGGCCAATCTTGTTCTTGGAGGCTGCATTTCTACTGGTATTATCAAAATCTCTATAGCATAGGTAAGATAGTGACTGTAGCCACGACACCAGTGAAGGCTTGCGGATGACATCATCTGATTCAGCTACATGTTCATATAACTCGTTAAGAACCACATTCTGGCCATCTTTGGGTAGCTGGATGATCAGCTGAGCAAGTACCTTCATCAAGTCAGGTAGCACCTGAAATTCCAAGGAAAATCATTGATGTAATGCTATAACTTCAAAGACACTGAACGTCAAACCTTAAACCCTGAAGCCTTACTTGAATATCAACGAGGGAAATGAATCGTAAAAGCAAATCGAGAAGCTTTTTGCAAGGCTCCAACTCTCCCTGCCAGTTCTTCCATAGATCAGCATTCTGCACGGAAACTATAGAACAGAGGTTCTGGGCTTTCTCCGCTAGGCTATGGATGCAGTAGAATATGGCCGGGCTTCCAGCAGGAAGGTGTTGAATCAAATGTGCAAATCCAGATGCCATGCCATCAAATGGTGTAAACTCAGGATATCCCTGAATGAATGGGGATATTTAAGAAAAAACAACAGCCTGCAGCAACATATTTCATGTTGAAGTTCACAAACTAAAGCTATGGTTAGTTAAATTTACCGATAACGATTTCAGGATGTAATAGAAAGCAAGTTGCTCCTTCAGTGGTGCTGTTTCATTACCATCTGCTTCCTTTCCCAGAGATATGAATGCCACAAACATGGAATGTGAGGCTCGAGATACTTTCTCATTCGGATGTTCCATATATCTGGTACCATTTTAAGTTAAGGAACCATATACTTCTCAATACATCGAGTTTCTCATAAAATCTCTAAATGCCTGTGAAGGATACAAGAACATAGTTGGAGTCACCACCTCACTGAATAGAAGTGCAGATAGGCGCTCGATGCATGTTGGAATGACACGCAGATAAAACAACATTCGGGAAGTCTGGACTTCATCGTTCAGCCAAGTATACTTCACAAGGTGTGGGAATTCTAGAAGCACATATAAGATTCAAACCACATAAATAAGCCTATGCGAGAATAACTGTAAGAGAAAATGACGCATTGTACACAAACGTTGTACCTTTAGCGTTTGTGAGATCAGCATAGGGAGGCATGGACTCCACAAAAGTGGTGCATGCAGTCTCATTCTCCTGTACACTAACAACAACCCCTCGTATCGTGTCCATATACTCAGGCAAACGAATACGGCGGAAGTATTCCATGCAAGAGAATGAAACTAAAATTGATACCGAGGTTTGCATCCGTATTTCAGGAGCCAAGTCTGAACTCAACTTGTGCTTGCTAACTGTTGAGGCAAAAACAACTACCATAAGGAAGGCTGACTCAGCCATTTTTTCAATATTTGATAGCAGCTGATCCTCTCTATCATGCAGCAATAAAGCCGCTAGTCGATGGCCAGAATATATCTCTTGGCAGAAGCGCCAAAAGGCATTCTCAACTACATTCCGGCTCTCTTCATCTGCTGAGACATACTGATTGCAGAAGCAAGCAGTTACGCTTCCTGCTTCCTTGAAAAGAACACTGTTGAGATGTTCTTTTGCTTCATCGAACTCCAGTCCGTGGGAACTGACTGAAGAACCGAGAATTCTTGTATACAAACGACGCAGAGGTACTATCTCTGTTAATAATGCTGCAGCAAGGGATATGAAGAGAGAAGCATGGGAAGATACGGGACCAGCTCGAGCTACAGCTAAGGAAATACACTGCAATAGAAGACCGGTTGAGCCATCATTGGCCACAGAAATAGACCGTCCCATTTTCGTAATTAAATTTTGAGCAATGGATTTTAGTATATTTTCTGAAGAAAACCTCAATCTGGAAACCAAATCCAGCCTTTGAACACTTGTAATAGATCTATTCAAAGCTCTCAGAACACCACCTGCAGCCATAACGAGGCCAGATGGTGGATAATCCAGTTTTGGAGTCTCCAAAGCCTGTAGCGTAAATGTTTGCAGCTTCTCCTGAGAATTTAATTTCATGATTCCAGGTATCACCCATTCTACCAAATGCAAAATCATGAGTCCGTTTCGTAAGCTACAAGGCGGTCCATCTTCCTTACCCCAAATCCCCATCAATGAATCCAATATCCTAACAAAGTGGGCATTCCCCGAAGAACACAAAGCATACCCTATCCCAGCAAGAACATGGCTAAGAAGTAGTGCTCCAAATGAGCTGATCAGTATATAGTCTTGCTCCAACAATCTGCAAACCAAATCCAGGCAGACTGTTTTGGATCGTTCTGATGCAGAAGGCACATAAGAAATAGCGGCAAGCAGGAGAACCGTATTTGCAAATACTATGGGGTCCTTAATTTGTCCATACTCAGTATCTAAGAATTTCAAGAGGACATCTGCAGCTGAATCCATTAGCGATGGAGATGGTCTTGAGGACTTCCTAACCCAGACATAGAGCAGCCGAAGCAAAGGTGTATATGCTTCATTAGGAAGAGCGATTTTCTCAGAAGATAGAATGGAGAGCAGAAGCTTTGCTTGGGTATCAGCAACATAAAGGGATACTTGAGAATCTAGAAGAAGATTCATGGACTGGAGGTGACGGGGTTGGAGTGCTTGGCTTTGAAGGCAATCTCTGATCTCAGCCCATGTTTGAACGATAGCACGGGAGGACAATGAAGAAGAAGATTGGCTTGTGCTCACATTGCCACTGATGCTGCTCAGCCATTGTTCAAGAAAAAGGGTGTTGTTTTGTCTAATAGACATCTTGCTGTCCTAAATTGCAAACACCAGTTTGTGTGACTTCTCTCTCGAGCAGCTGAATTTCCCAAACACCACAGAATTTCTCCTCCCTTCAAATCTGCAACCATACTGAATCGACTGCTAAGATCTGAGGGAATACATGGACGAGACAGACAAACGAAAGGCACGCGCATAGGAAATCTACAGCACCAATAGCCATTAGGAGGAAACCTACTGTGATGAGAACATACATAACAACCCAAAAATTTCGACTATCTTGGAAGCACAGCAACGAAGCAAAACTGTGAAGTGTAAGACAAGACGACGAATTCCAAATATCAGGAAGCCACCCAGTTCAGGAAGCTGCCTAACGATCGGAAAAGCAACAAAATATGTTTCCTTCTAACCCGAAGAGCAAAACCCAGAGCTAAAATACCCTTTTGCACCAGTTAACTATTTCGGAAAAGCTGCAGCCGTCGAGCACACTCGATTGAGAACCCAGATGACAAGAGGAAGACGGAAATGGAAGGAATTAGCAATTACCCGGCTGAATGGAGAGAACCCAGATAACCAAAATTAAGGGCTTTGGTGGCTTTAAATTGAGCAAATGGAACTGGCGAACTTTGTGCTGCTGTTGGCGCTGACTTGCGTTTTCTCCACCTTGAAGTAAGGGATAGTCATTCTGTGACGAATGGATGCTATATATTATCCCCAAAACAAAATGTTTTGCCTTCCCAAGAGAAGGAAGGAGACGAGTGAGGACGTCAGGAATTGAGCCGGCCGGAGTTCGCCGGGAGAGATTAACGGCTTGAAGACGAAGAAGTGTCCAGATTGGTCGTAAACATAATTTGGGCTCGTTCTATAAATTATAGGCCCATTAAGATTCAAGACAAATGAACAAGGTTGTCAACCCGCGGGTTGACCCGGACCCGGTCGAGCTAGTGGGTCAAGGGTCAATGGGTCAACCGTTTTAGTCCGGTTTGGCCCGGAAATATGGAAAAAGTCATTATATTGTACTTATCCTCATAAATTATATCAAATCTTATCTAACATATGAGTTATAACATATAATATTACACCAAAATAACATATCGTACTTAGATCCAACATATAATGAAAATTCACACACACTTATATAACATAAATATTCAAATGTTCAACTTAGGATTCCAAAGATTGAGTTAGGCGAAAAGAAAAATAGAAAAATAGGCGCATTTCGCAAATCAAAGGAAAAAATGACACAATTTGACCTCCAACCCGGTACCTTATAGCGGTCGGCCCGGCAGGTGCGTACGACCCGTTTTTCTCATTGGGTCAGGGTCAAACTGGGTCGACCCGCGGGTCAACCCGCGGGTTGACAACCTTGCAAATGAATGACGCTTGAAAGATCCTACTCAGGCAGCAGAAGCCCAATCCTCAGTCCAACCGGACCTACGATGCCATACCAATTTACAGGGTGTTTTTGGAAAATACCGAAAAACTTAAGGGTGATTTTGCTAACTTATTAGTTATTATTCGATAATTTTATATCTTATCGTATTAAATAGATTATTAAATAGATCAAATGTAATGGATCATGTCTGTTCACATCTATAATTAGACTAGCGTGGTCCCGACCAGTTGGCCGGAGGAAGGTGAGGTATGAAATTTGATAATGTAATGGGGTGTATAGCTTATTGTTGTATAGTTTTTTTGGAAACACGTGATAAAAATAATGAATTTTAGCAGGAAAGTGACATGAATGATGCAACGAATCAAAAATCGGCCTTATGAACCAAAATCAAGTATATGTTACCTTGTGAAACAATATTGTTTCTGGTAATATGATGAGGTGGAGTAAGTTTTATAGAAACCGGATTCCAGAAAATCGAATAAAAAATCGCCTATCTCGTAGGTTTTCGGAAAATTAGCATCTCACAATCGTTGCTAGCTTTTACTCGACCTGTTGGCCGATTAATTTGCTTTATAAAACTTTCATCTTGTCGTCATTGTGCTTTCTGGTTTTTGTCAGGCCATGATAAAATCTAAGAAAATCAAGAACGAACAACACGATTTGGGATAGGAACCACCGTTGTCGTATCCCTAGAAAATGGTGGTAAACACGGACTCACCTGCCAAACTGGTTTGGATTGAGATTTTTATCGAGTATCAGGGAACCATGTGATTATAAATTAGACTTGATCAAAACGGGCCAAAACTTGAAATTAAGCCTATTTGCCGACCCATGCAAAATTCTAATTATTCTTAACTTTTAAACTTTCTATTTGAAAATAAAAAATGGTGAAAGAAAAGAGATGACTGCAATTCGCCATTTGCACATCACTTATTCGGGAATAAAACCATAGAAATTCAAAAGGAACTGAAAATGTTTAGGATCGTTTTAATATTTAAAATAACCAAATAGATCTTTCTGTTTAGTTTTTTACTAACAAATACCAAACGATTCTCTGTAAAATACACTATAATTTGATCATTATGATATCAAATAATTATATAATATATATTTGAAATGATAAAATTGGACTAATTGGATTGGTCGAGGTTGAACCATTGAATAACTTTAAAATACATTATATTTTAGCCAATGATGTTCATTTGTTTTACTTGATGGCCAAATCCCGTGTAGGTCCGGCCCATTCAACTCTTTTATTTTATGGTTAGCGGTTAGCCTATTAGATACCATGCATTAGTTTATTGTTAAATTTTATATTTTTAGCAATAAAAAGAAGTATTGTTTTTGCCTTTTCATATATATTTTATCACCACGGAGAAATAAAAGGGCTTAAAGAAAAAAATTGATTCTCCTGGACCCGTTTAAATCCGCAAGTGTACGGTAAGTTGGCCCGTTCCATAGAGGAAAGAGAAAAAAATGGACACTCCATATTCTACCCTTCCTACAAACGCTTTTAGAATGGCAAACCAATGATCATTTGTTTTACTTGATGGCCAAATCCCGTGTAGGTCAGGCTCATTCAACTCTTTTATTTTATAGTTAACAGTTAGCCCATTAGATACCATGCATTAGTTTATTGTTAAATTTTTTATTTTTAGCAATAAAAAGGAGTATTGTTTTTGCCTTTTCATATATATTTTATCACCATGGAGAAATAAAAGAGCTTAAAGAAAAAAATTGACACTCCTGGACCCGTTTAAATCCGCATGTGTACGGTAAGTTGGCCCGTTCCACAGAGGAAAAAGAAAAAAAATTAACATTTCCTATTCTACCCTTCCTACAAACGCTCCTGGAGCAGGGAATTTGAAATGGGGGAAGAGTTTTTTCCTCCCTGCTAATATATATTTTTAATTTAAAAGGATACAACAAATGTACTTAGTGTGATTGGTTATTATTGTTGTTTTTCTTTAAAATGGTCATGGTTCGAAACCCAGTACGTGTCTTTTTAATGAATAAAAAAAGTAATTGTGAAGACCAAAATGTCCTTCCTACTTTCACTCTCGTTGCAGGAAATTTGAAATGGGGCTCCCGTTTTTCCCTTCGGTGTATTATAGTATGTGTAGATTAGCTTTTACTCGGCCCTTGGACGCCGAATGAGTTTCGTTTTATCATTAATATTGATTAATTTATAATTATATTTAAAATATTAACCCAATTCATTGGTCGGATGAATTTTATTTTATTTTATTTTGATAAATCTCTTCATTTTTTTAAATAAGTTGAGGTTTCTAAAATAGTTAATTCATGATTTCATAGTAATCTTTATGGTATTTGTTGATTATGACATTACCGATAATCTATATCTATATATTATGGCAATTCAGAAATAACTTCTTACCACATAAGCACTTGGAGAAATAACAATGTTATCTAGGTGGACATTTTTTTTTACTACCCAAAAAATTTATGATTGATCTATTTATGAAGCTATCTCTCTCTTCTTTTAGCATTTATGCTCACTTTTACTCAACATTAATAATAAGTTACATTAAAAATGTAAATAAAAGCAAGCATAAATAATAATATTTTTGTCAATTAAACAAAATACAAAGATGAAAACAAAGAATGACATATATCGGGTTTGTTTAAACAAAAAATATATGATTAAATATTATCAGATAAATTATCTACTCATTTTAACCAAAACTTAATAATAAGTTACATTTTGATAAAAATTTAAAGAAGTACACAAATAAATAATAATATTTTGTCTATTAAATAAAATATAACGACCCAAAGAGAAAAATCAAGCGTTTGACAATCAATCGACTTTGAAAAATGAAATAAATGAATTTATATATTAAACCTTCTCTTCTTTATAATATATATGTCTACCAGTTAAAATAGTTGTTATATAAATTATTATTTCATATAATAAAATCATTGTCAGAGTATAACTTGATCGAAAAATAATAAGTATTTCTTAAGAATATTTCTATTCATCCCGATTAAGAGAAAACATATATTAATGTTCTACCTGAAATTTCTCAAAAGAAGAGTAATCAAATGTGCAATATTTTATAATTTGGTTTAAGTTCACATTAAAATATTTGATTTAGATGATTTGGTTCAGCATACTCAATTGAGGTCATAAATAATATGCTCATAAATTTTCTTTTAGGATTTAGAGTTATTGTCGAGGATTATACATCAAAGTTTTCAAAATGACTTAAGTATGAGTTTTGACAAACTTTGACTTCATACCTTAAGACGAGACACAATATACTTTAAAAAATGATACATGTGAATGTTAAAGGAATTTTTGTTGATAATATACAATAAACATCATGTTTTATCAATCACTGACCTATGCATTGATCAAATAAGGATTGACAATATTCATTTAATAGTTGAATATCTTTTAAACAAATCAAAATATGAGTATTTAGACAAATCAAAATTTGAGTGGACAAGTTCTATCTTGGCTTATATAATTTTTTGTTTACTCTTTAAATTGTCATTATTATAAATAAAACATAAATTAAGTTAATAACATGGAATGCAACATTTTGGTTTGTTCCTATTCCTTTTCTCGTACAAATTATTTCGATAAAAACAAAGTGCACCATTGAAAATAAAGAAATTGGATCAAGCCCCATAAAAACAAACAAACCTCTCTTCTTATTTCCTCAAAATCCTAAGATCTCTAGCATTTCTTTTCTCCACTTTTTTTTTCAAACAAATACAGGAAAGGAAATAGTAAGGCATATTGAGTTTTTACTCTTTGTAAGAGAATATGAGGGTGGAGTTACATGAGACAATGATTAGATGAGATACAATTGAGCATCTATAACATATGTTTGACTATTGACTAAAAAAGTTCATCATATCATTGCGAAGATGAATTGAATGAAGTCGATGATTGCTCATTGCTCCCTCTTCACCCTTAATCTGTAGTTGACAACTGGTCTCTTTTTCCTAGAGATATGTGGTTGTTTGCGTTTGACTGGTCATATTAAACTCTTATTTCCATTTGTTTCATAATTTCTTCAAGATTACAACGGCTGGATGGTAAATTTCTCTACTCAAATCAATGAATGTATTTCTCTTGGGTTTTCAGGTAGTTGTTTTATGGTTCTCTATGTTGTATACTTTTATGTAAACATGTAATTGACAATTGGAATGGTTTATTGCTTGGACTTAGAGTATCTCTCATTTGGTTGAATAATTGATCATTTTACTTGCCTATTGCATCCCAATTCCGTGGATGATAAAATGGAAAGCAGAGTTGTTAGGGTTGTTTATTATGTTCATGAGTGACATGCTACTAGCTATATGATTATAATCTGGTCAGTAAGTAAAACGTAGCAGGGGGTTATAAGTAAAAGGGAACACATGTGAGGTTATATAAAGGTGCGAAGAAGAAAGAAAA